AGTGTGATGGTGCGGGTCTCCGGCGTGAGGGGCACGATGTACTCGGAGAGCATGGAGCGGCGGCTGCGACAGGCACTTTCGAGATGGATGCTGATAAGGAGGTCGTAGTAGCCAGCACGCAGCGGGCCCGGCAGGTGCGCGTCCTCCAGGGCGTGCAGCAGCTGCGCCTGATCCACGTGGCTGCACAGAGCATGCGCCACGCGGTTGTTGCCCAGGGCGCACACTGCGCGGTAGAGGCGGAGGGTGTGGGAGTGGAACCGCTGCAGGTTCAGTCGCTCAGACAGCTCCAGGATGTCCATGCACCTGCGGGGAGGTAGGCCACAGACAAGGACAGAGCGGGCAGAGGAGGTGGGAGACAAAGACACGGACCACAGAGAGGCAAAGACGTGCTTAGGTGAGTGTTGGTGGCCCTAGCGTTCTGCTGGGCCAAGTTTCTGTGAGGTCTGCAGAGCTGGGTCTAGGACTCTCTCAATGGCTCTGGAAATCCCTGTGGGGTCTGAGGGCCCCCTGGGAAGATCTGGCACTCTGGGGTATCTGTGACTCCACGAAGATCTGGTGACCCTGAGATGTATCTGGGATCCCCGGGTTGGACCTGAACCCCACTCTGGCAGGTCTTAGTACCCTGGTTATATCTGAGCATCACTAGAATGTAAATACCACCAGGGTAGGATATTTATGCTTGTTTTGGTTTTTTGTTTGTCTGTTTTTGCTATTTTCCCAGCACCTAAACAAGACTTAGCATATAGTAAGTGCTCCATAAATATTTGTTGAATGAATAAACAGGTATGTCTGGGCCCCTGAAGATGGGTCTGAGCCTGCTGAGTTATTTGTGTGCATTACTAGAATGTCCTTTCATAAGGGCTTGGTGTCCCCAGCTTAGGATGTCACCGGTCACATAGGAGGAGTTCACAAGTGAGTCCGTAAGAGCATTCCTGCAATCCATATGAACACACCTCCACCTGGGTGTGTCTGGGTCCCATGGAGTGGATTTGAGAGCTTCATGGAATACATCTGAAGTCCCCCTGGGTGGGCCCAAGAGATCCTGGGGTGCACCCAGTCCTCTCTGAATCATGTCCAGAACCCTCTGAGGTACACTTGAGGCCCCTGTGGTGTTGTGTGGGCTCCTTGGTGTGGGTCGGGGATCCCTAAGATGAGTTTGGAGCCCCACTCGATGAATCTGGGGCCCCTGGGATAGTGTCTGTGGTCCACTGAGAAGGGCCTAGGGTCCCCTGAAGTGGGTCTGCAATCACCTGGAGTGTATCTGGGGATGCCTGGGCAGGGGCTGGGTCCCCTGAGGTAGGTCTGGGATCCACTGAGATGGCTCTAAGGCCCCCTGGGGTGTTATTTGGGGATAGTAAGGTAGGTCTGGGGTCTTCTGGGGTGTTGTCTAAAATCCTGTGGTAGTGATGGGGAGCACTGAGTTGGACCCAGACCCCAGAGGGCTTGCAGAACCCCTCCCCATCGCCCCATCCCCAGTGTGGCTGGGTTGGCCCTGACCGGTTCTCCTCAGGGATGTGCAGCGCCATCATGATCAGTGGCTCCTGGCACTCCACAGCCCAGCCCAGCCGCTCGCCGGCTCGCCGTGTCTCCACCTGCAGGAAGTGGTTGGGCATACGGCTCCAAGAGATGGGCATCAGCATCTGCATCTCCAGCCGCGGTGGGCACTGTGGGGCTGGGTTCTTGCGCTCGCTCAGAAACATGGCGGCCGACAGTGGCATGATATTCTGGGGGCATGGGGCATGAGTCAGGATTCCCAGCCCTATGTCCTGCCACCTTGCTTCCAAGGAGACCTCCCGAATGCCCCCTCCCCTTTGGCCACTCTGCCAGCCTGGCCTCCCGTACCTCCCGCCTTAGCCTGCCCCATCACTGCACTGTTACCTTCTGTTTCCCCAGCTCAAACTGGATGACGTTCTGATGGGTGGGCAGGACAAAGACAGCAGGAAACAGCTTCGTGTTGGGTTCCACCTGGCAAGGGAGAAGAGGGCAGGGTGAGGAAGGTGAGCTGGAGGTGGTGTTGACTCTGGAACCCAAACTCTGGGGCTGGTTGCCCCATCCTGATCCTGTAGGTGTCTGAAGACCAAGCTTGGGTACTGCAGGCTCCACAATGGCCCTGAGGTCATTCTTGGGCTGCACTACCTCTGATCCAGCCAGGACAACCTCCTCCAACTCCCCCAGGGCAACCTGTGATCTGGGTCTCTGCTCACAGCATGCGCCCCACCGTGAATGCCATTCCTGTTTCTCTTCCAAGTGTACTCATTCTCCAAAATCCAGAAAGCATTCTCTCACTGCCCTCCCTCCAGCCCCTCTGATCTACCCAGTGGAACCCACCCAGCCTCCGTCACCACAAACACCACCATCTGGGAAGCAATCTTGCCAAAACCAAACCTAAATCTAATCGCACCTCTGGACCCATCTCCGTTTACAGGGAAAACGGCACAGTGGAAAACGTTAAAATGACACCACAGAGCCTGACTGTGGGGAACGAGGCCAGCACTGTTCAGACAGCAACGTGCACATGAATCCCCTGGGCTTTGTTAAAATGCAGATTCTGAGTCAGTGGGTCTGGAGAGGGGTCTGAGATTCTGCATTTTTCTTAAAAATTTTTTTCCATTACAGTTGACATACAATATTATACTACTTTCAGGTGTACAACATAGTGATTAGACATTTATATACCTTATGTGGTGATCACCCCAATAGGTCTAGTACCCACTTGACACCACACATAGTTGTTACAATAATATTGACTATATTCCCTAACCTCCCACCCACATGGTAACCATCAAAATGTTCTCTGTATCTGTGAGTTTGTTTCTGTTTTATTTGCTCATTTATTTTGATTTTTTAGATTCCACATATAATTGAAATCATATGGTACTTGTCTTTCTCTGTCTGACTTACTTCACTTAGCATAATACTCTGTAGGTCCATCCATGTTGTCAAACAGCAAGATTTCACTTTTTTTTATGGTTGAGTAATATTCCGTGTGTGTGTGTGTGTGTGTGTGTGTGTGTCACATCTTCCTTATCCAATCGACTATCAATGGACACTTAGGATACTTCTTTATCTTGGCTATTGTAAATAATACTGTAATGGACATAGGGATGCATACATCTTTTTGAATTAGTGTTTTGGATTTCTTTGGATAAATACCCAGAAGTGCAATTGCTGGGTCATATGATAGTTCTAGTTTTAATTTTTTAGGACCCTCCATACTGTTTTCCATAGTGGCTGCACCAATTTGCAGTCCCACCCACAGTTCACCAGGGTTCCCTTTTCTCCACATCCTCGATAACACTTGTTTGTTGATATATTGATGATGGCCATTCTGACAGGTGATAATTGTTATTTTAATTTGCATTTCTCTGTTGCTTAGCGATGTTGAGCATCTTTTCACAGAGATTCTGCATTCTAACAAGCTCCAAAGGTAATGCAGACCCTACTGGTCCAGAAACCACACTCTGAGGAGCAGCAAACCTCTACAGGACAGACAGCCTGGTTTTTCAACAAATACATTTCAAAGAAAAAAAGAGAGAGAGATGGAGGGGGAAATCTACACATGAAAAGAGACTCAAGGGGCATCACAACCAATTAAAATATATGACCTTATTGAGATTCCAATTCAAACAAATGGTAAAAAGATGTTTTTGAGGCAAACAGAAATTTGAACATATGATATTTGATGATACTTAGGAATTACTAGGATTTTTTAATGGCGATAGTGGTATTGTGGTTATGCTTTTTTTAAAAAAATCCTTATCTTTTAGAGATATATACTGAAAAGAAACAAAACAATATGAAGTCTGAGATATCCTTCAAAGTCATCCAGTGGGTACAGAAATGAAGGTGAGTGTGGGAGGTAAGGGTGGAGCAAGACTGTCTGTGAGTGGGTGATAGTTGAAGCTGTGTAACGGGGACGGGGAGATTCACTATGCTATTCTATTTTTGTATTCTTTGAAGTTCTCCATTGAAAATAAAGTTTTCTCAAATCCAACTTAGATGGATTAATCAGTGGATAGGTAAATAAATATGTGATAAAGCCAGTGTAATAAAACATGGATGGTAGATTCTTGGTTGTGGGTATATGGGCGTTCACCGTACAATTTCTTTAATTTTGCTATATGTTTGAAATTTTTTATAACAAAATGTTGAAAAGGAAAAGCCCACCTTAGATTTTGGTCCACCCTAGGGTGTTCCAATTGGTGAAGAGGTGGCAGCTGGTGGCACCCAGCCTCACAGGTAATATGGACCTCTATCTCAGGTCAAGGCTATGCTCTGTCTCCTCCTTTCTGGGCCTCAGTTCAATGGGTAGTTCAATTAGGCAGTCTCCCAGGAGCCTCCCAGCTTTGACTAGGTGCTGTCTTTGTCCTGCCTCTCTGGGGTCTGGCCTCTAGGGGTGTCTGGGAGGATTGTCCCAGCATGCTGAGATATGAGGATGCTATTGCTAAGTTGCAGAGGGCTGGGCTTACCTGGAAAAAGGTGTTGCTTTCTTTGCCGTTGGCCGTAAAGGTCATTAGGCCAGTGGCTAAGTCCACCAGGCAGCCAATGACAAGGTCCGTGTGGCTGATCCGGCCCTGCTGCCCAGGGCTCACGAAGTCCCCGCCCCACACCATGTAGCAGTTGCTGCACTTGAGGCTGGAGGAGACAGGAGTGGTCAGTGCATGGATCCTCAGCCGAGGCACTCTGGACCCTGGACACCCTCTTCCCCGAGCTCCTAGAATACCATGACCTCAGAGCCCACCCCCAAACTCATACCACCTGCAGACGTGAGCACTGCAACCCCTCACCCCAGACCCTGAGCCCCTTGGAGCTAGAATTCTTAGAAGATGGTGGGGGGTTCTGGAAGGAGAAGAAAGGGGAGCAGGAGGAGAGAACAGAGAAAGGAGGTAACATAAAAAGAGGAAGGGAAGATGAAAAAAGGAGAAGTAAATGGAAAAGAAGAAATGGAAAAAGGAAAGGAGGAGGGAAAAAACAGAGTAGGAACCATTGGAGGAAAATAAACAGAAAGAGAGAAGAAGGAGGGAAGCTTCTGAGCCGGGTGCCCAGCACTGAACTCCCACCTCCCACAGTCTCCACCCATCCCGGCACCTGCTATGGACGTTGCCTTGTTCGTCCCCCATGGTCACCGTCACTGCCCGGACCTTGCTGAGGTCGAAGTTCATGTCGTGCTGATGGTAGTCAGGGGTGACCCAGCCCACCCACACGCAGCTGGGTTCCTGGCCAGCGAAGACCCTCACGGAGTAATAGTACTGGAGAGGCAAAGGGGGTACCAGTGGTCATTTTGGAAGAAGGTGACACAGGGCTTCCCTGGGACTCTAAGTAGTTTTCTCTGGATTCTCAGTGTCTTCTGGGAGTTTAATAAAGAGTTGCCGGGTTTGAGGCTCCCTGGGTCTATGCCCCTTTGTTTCTGTGTCTACTGGTGTATTTCTAAATTGGGGGATCCTTTGGGACTATTTTGTGATAACCCCAAATTTGGGTCCCTCCCCAGGTTACAGCAAAGTAACAAATAAATAATGACTGACAAATGGCTCACCAATTAGCTTACAAATTAACTCACTTAATTCTTCCAATCACCATCAAGTGGATATAATTTTTACCCCCGTTTTACTAATTGGAAAACCACAGTTTCCATAGAGGAGAAGGCATGGAGTGGTGACGTGACTTACCCAAGTGGCATCCAGGTCACCCATGATCCTAACCATTACGCTGTTTGTCTCATAAAAGATTCCAGATTTAGGGAATCCCAAAACTATATTGGGATAATTGTTAATTTTTGGTTCCCAGGAATATACTAGAATAGCTATTAAATTTGGAGGTATTGAGCTTATGTGGGTGAATGCCAATATTGGGGTCCCAAGTCTATACTGGTTTATCCCTTGGATTTGGGGAACCTTGTGAGTTACATCAATGTTCCTTAAAGCTTCACTGTGTTCCTGGCAATTTTTAGGCCCCTAGCTCTATGGATTTATGGGTTCAAAGGATTAAATCAGTGTGTGCTGTATTATAGGGTCTCCTGTGTATATTGAGATGTTCCCAGGTATGGGCAGTTACTGGGGATTGCAGCATGAAATTTGGAAAGCTGAGGGGTTCCCAAAGTTAGAGGTTCTCGGTTCACACCGTGGTGGTGTTGAGGATGATTTCAGGGTCATCGCGGTCATCGGCGGGCACCACCTCGCGAGGGAGTCGGGGCAGAGTGGGGGTGGCTGGTGGCTGGGTCATCATGGTGGCTTTCTTGGCCTTGAACAAGAACCTGGTGGTGGGAAGAGGTTGCGTGAGAACCAGATCTCAAGCCCAGTCCCCCAATCCTCCCTACCACAACATTCATGCCCCCCACATCCGTCCTAACTATACCTTGTTTCTAATACCCAAGGCCTTGCCTCTAAAGGAATGGAGTTTCCAACTGTGCCAGACTAACACATTCAGGAGGTGCTGTGTTCTGTGCTTGTGGGTAGCGGGTCACCTACATTTAGAAGTGCCTCTGGGAACATGGAGGTTCCATTTGGGGCATAGTGGCCCCCCTAAGTCAGCATTTCTCATATGCTTTTCTCATAGGGGTGCTAAAAGAATTTGGGAAAAGAAAATTCTTCATATGTGGCACTGACTTGACACTGAAAGCAGGAAGAATCCCTGGAGACCCCAGCAGCAGCACCCCCAAACCTGATCACCAAAATCTTCCATCATTTCCAAACACTCCCCAAAAGACACAGAGCTACATCCCATTGAAAACCACTGCCATAGTAGGGGGAATCCAGATTTCATTTCAATTCAAGTTTAATGCCTTTTGAGGGTGTCCCTTGAAGTAGTTTCTTGGGAGTACATTTGAGCACAGAAATTACCCTATTTTATTTTTTATTTATTTATTTATTTATTTAGCTGAGCCATCCCGCCACCTGTTGGCAGCTCCGCGGCTGCTCAGCTCGGGCTGACTCGAACCACTGTTGCTCAGAGCTCAAACTCTTGAGCGAGCTCTTAACCAACTGAGCCACTCAGCCGGCCCAGAAATTACCCTATTTTAGAAGACAACTGGTGTTCACTGGGATACCCTGGGGTGTGGTCAACTCTCCCAAGATACTGAGTTGCTCCTTTTGGTGTTCATGGTAAATGAAGTCCATTGGGTGAGATGCTCTGAGGCCCATCAGGTACTCCAAGAACAGTGGAATTCTCCTATACAATGTGGTACCCCAATTTTATATTCTCAGGGAAATTAGAGCTTCTCAGGAAAATAATGGCATTCACTCGAGACGTGATAAGACCCCCTCAGTATTCTGACTCACTTAACATATATGGGGCTACTTTGGGATACAGTGGGGTTTCTCAAGTTATTGAGGGTTCCTAACTGGAGGTCCCAGGACAGACCCCAGGCCCCAACCTACCTAACCCATGACTCACCCTCTCTTCTTGTTCTTCTCTGTGGTAGCATCCTTCTCATTCTCCGCCCTGACAGGCTGGGCCTCTACCCCAGCCTGAGGGGTGCTCCCAGGCGCCCCCTCCTTGGCAGTTCCCTCTTTGCCCCCCTCAGCCTCGCCCCAGCGCCCAGCTGAGCGGCACAGGTTTTCGTAGTCGGTGTCAGGTTCTGCTGCCCGGGCCTCGTCTTCAGCGGGGGGCTGTAGGCCAGGGGATGCCAGGGGGGTGGCTCCTGCAGTGCAGCGGAAATGATGGTGGAACTGGACTGGAAGGCTTAGCCGCAGAAAGAGCATCTCCACTAGACTGTTCTGGGAGCCCCAGGTGCGGTGAGTCAGGCGCAGACAGGGGGGCGTATCCACAGTGCCATCCACACGGGCCACCTGGGGGTGGGGGCAGAAAGCACTGAGCCTAGCGGGCAGGTTAGGCCACTGGTCCTCAACCTGCTTACACACAGAGCCACCATTAGGCCTTAGAGCACCTGTGTGAGAATCAGCCAAAGGAGTCCCCTCTTTTGGGTGCAAGAGTTCCCTATGGGGCACACAGCTTAGCCACTGGGTACGTTCAGCCATCTGTAACCCTTTGTCTGGGCATCTTGTACAGCGGCAGCCCTAGTCAGACACTGAAGCTTGGGGAGCTTTCAAAGCCTACCTAGGCACAGACCTTACTCCAGATCAAGTCATCAACCCTATCCATCCATCCATCCATCCATCCATCCATCCTACAAATATTTATTAAATACCGACTGTGTGTCAGGCACTGTTCCAGGTGTTGGAAACACAGCAGTGAACAGAGCAAAGGCCTTGTCATCTGATCTCTTATGGAGAGCAGCCCAGAAGGGTCAGAGTTTTGTAAAGTCCTCCCCAGAAAAATTTTCGTTAAACTTATATGTGGACATGTAACATTCAGAAAAGTGCACACATCATTAGTGTGCAGCACAATGAGTTTTCAAAGTAAACACACCTGTATGCCCAGCACCCGAAAGGAGAAACAGAAAACAACCAGCCCCCAGAAACCTCCTCAGTGTCTGTTCAGTCACTACCTTCTCAAAGACCATGAAGAATTCTGATGCGGGAAATGCCACAACCTGGCCTAAGAGACAGGAGCCGGTAGATGTACATCCTATGCCCAAGTACAGACTCTCAAAACTTTTCTGGAGACTCCATAAGCAACTGTAGCGGTTCCCTTTCTTTGATGCCCCTCCCAAGTTGACCTCCTCAAGGACCAATTGCTGAGACAGACCTCTGTGCTCCTCACCAGCCAAAGAATTCACCCCAAAACTGTGTTAACTAAAATTGGATGTTCCCAGACTGCCTGCAGGGTCTCCTTTCTCTTGTCTTTCTTATTAATCCTATTTGGGCTTTGCTGCTTGACCGCAGGCTACTCCCTCTCCCTCCTGTGATTTGTGTGCAAAGTAATTAAATGTCTGCGTTATCCTTTCATGGTAACACCTTCCTGACTTATCAAACCACAAATCAGCTTTGCATGTTCTTGAACTTCCTATAAATGGGATCCCACAGTATGTGCTCTTCTGCGTCTGACTTCTTTCACACAACGTTATGTCTGTGAGACTCATCCACATGGTTGTGTGTACGTGAGTTTATTCAGGCTCACTGCTGTCTAGCATTCTGTTCTTTGGGTTGAGAACACCACCTGGCAGTGGCAGGAATTGGGAAGTTCACATCTATTCCACCTCCCATCCCAGCCACCTCTCTGGTCTCTCTGCTTCCACTCATGCCTCCTACAATCCACTGTCAATAGGGACCGTTCCAAAATTCAAATCTAAACTGGACATTCCCCTGCTTAAAACCCTTCCATTTTTACCTTGTCTTAAAATGCCTTCCCACAAATTACTTAGTAATTATAAAGAGAAAGATAGTAACTTTGCAGCACAGGACCCTGGCAGATTCCACCTTAATCAAAGAGTCAGAGTTAACATAATGAGTAATAAGACATAGCGACGTCATGTGCCTCCTGATATCTTGCACTAACCAGGACACAGTATCACTGCTGCAGTATTCCTGCCAAATACATAGTACATGAACCTAACCAGGAGGAAACATCAGACAAACCCAAACTGAGGGATATTCTGCAAAATCACTGGCCTGTACTCTTCAAAAATGTCAATGCCATGAAAGACAAAGAAAGACTCAAAAACATTCTATTTTAAGACTAAACAGACATCTAAATGCAACATGTGATCATGGATTGGACCTTAGACCAGAAAAATTAAAAGGGACATTATTACCACAATTTACAGATTTTGAATATGGATTGTGAATTAGGTGATAATATGTATCAGTGTTAAATTTCCTGCTTTTCCTATCTACTGCATGTAGGTCCGTAAGAGTGTCGCCTGTTCTGAAGAAATGCGAATTGAAATATTTAGGGGCAAAGAGGCCCGTTAGCTCCAAGTTAATCAAATAATTCAGAAAAGAGAAAGAGGAAGATTATGTGAGAGGGAGATTTGAACAATGCCACGGATGGGAAAACTGGGGCTCAGGAAGACACAGTCACATGCCCCAGGTAACAGGCCACACAGCAGGTATGAGGCCAACTCCAGATCTGCCTGATTTTAAAGTTGAGCCTCAGTCACATAGAGCTCAGGTTCTTTCCAGACTGAGAGAAGGACTACCTCAAGTACAACGTACTATCACTTTGGTCTATGTTGGGTACTTATGGTCCGAGTCTGACCCTGAGTTAAACCTTGGGAAAGAGAAGCACTAGAGTCTAAAAATTAGGATGCTCAGATTAATGAAGAGCTACTAAAAACAAACAAACATAACAATTAGTGAGGAAGGTGTCAAAATGTACCCAAGGATTTATATTTCTTTAAACTTTGTTCTAGGATCAGGTAATTAATTCTAAGGACTAGAAATTTCCATTGGGGTCACTTAACCCAGTTTCTCTTCTCTCCCTTCCCTGGTTTTATAGGTGAGGTACCTGGAACTCAAAAAGGTAGTGGTTTGCTGAGGTCACACCTTACAAGGCAGCCCTGGGAGCCCATTGCCCTGACACCCGCTTGTACATGGCTTGTGGGCTAACGTGGAAGACAAGAAAGACTCGGGGAAGAGAATTGTGGGAAGAATGAGGTTTGGAGGCAGAGCAGAGGGTACCGAGTGGGGTTGATCCTCACCTCATAGTGGGGGTGCTCAAGGGGCACGGCCTCAAACTGGGGAAGGCTTTTGCTGAACCAGGTGGTGACTGGGCGCTGCATATTGATGGCGAATGGCTCAAAGCCTTCCTGGAGGCCGCAGATGGCAAAGAACCGCAGGGAGCTCACGTCCTGGCCCAGGTTCAGGTGACCCACCTGGCCAGGTCCCAAGCTGCAGACGGGCAGGAATCCTGGTGGGAGAGGATGGATGGGCAGGGGTGAGGCTATGTGGGCAGGGCAGGGGCAGCTGTGGGGAAACGGTACTGTGGAAGGAAGGGATGGAAGAGAGGGAGGCTGGAGGGGGCAGTGTAGGCTCAGATCAGATGAGAGGAAACCAGAAAGGGGCCATGAGGCCAGCTCTCACCATCCCCAATCTCAATATCCCGGAAGGCTGTTTCAGAGCCTGAATCGGACATGAGGATCTCGCCATTGAGGGTGAAGATAATGGTGTTCTCTGTGAGGTCGATCATGCAGCCCACGACATCGCCCGACTGCCAGGGACGCCCAAATGGTTCACTGCCCAAGTGCCAGCGCTGGCCCTGTGGGAGAGACATACAGAGAAATGGAGACGTACAGAAACAAGGAGAGACATGTAAAGATATACATGTAAGGCAAGTGAGACAGAAGAGGGGTCACCCCCACACTGTCCCCCATCTTTCCCCACATTTGCATCCATGATCCCTGGAATATAAGGGACAGGTTTTCATGCTTTCACTTCCCACTATTCTCTGTATCTCATCCCTTCTGCCTGGGTTCTCTATAGTGTCAATAGCTGGAGCTGGGGTTAAGCAGACCACCACAGTGGTAGTGGGGGGTTGGGGGGAGCAGCAAGTGGAGGGATGGAAATAAAAAATGAGCCTATCAGTGTCCCCCATACACCTATATATACCCATATGCCCCCAGAATAGGTAAATGAATAATGAGATGGATGGATGGGAAACAGGGTGTTTGGATGGAAGAATGAAATGAAAGCTGAGTCTCCATGGGTTGATGCAAGGGAGGAAGAAAGTAAAGACAAATAGATAAATGGATGGATGGGTGGGTGGGATGGATGGACTGGTGGGTGGGTGGATGGATGGATGGGTGGATGGATGGATAGATAAATAGATGAAATGATGAATGCATGCATTAAATTATTGGATAGATGAATGGATAGATAATTGAAACTGCAAACTGATTAAATAAGTGAGTGGCTGAACTAACAAATGAATAAATAGGTGGAAAAGTGGATGGTTAAGTGATTATCTGGGTAGACGAGTAGATGGATAGATAGTTGCATTTGTGGATAGACAAATGGATGAATGGACAGATTGATGGTTGGATAGAGAGATGCACGATGGATGGGTATATGCATAGAGAGAGAGGAAAGGATGGATGGATGGATGGATGGATGGATGGATGGATGGATGGATGGATGGGTGGATGGATGGAAGGATGAGTGGTAAGGTAGATGCAGGGATGAGTGAACAGAGTGGGACACAGATAGAAGCAGGGTTGGAGTGTATGAGTTGTGGGAGGGACTACAGGGTCTGGCAGAGTAGAGCCCAGGGAAGTACCCACGCGGTGCCCATTGAAGACATAGGCCAGCTCATCAGCTCCCAGCTCCGTGTCAGGCCTCAGCTCGGGCCTCGCCCAGCCCACTCGCATCTCGCCTGTGGTGACTGCTTCAAACTCAAAGTACCAGCGGCCATTCTGCACCACGTAGGATTTCTCTGCCCGGAAGATGCGCACCCGGTCCCAACGGGACTGGCTATCCATTAGACCTACAAATGGGGCCAGGGAGAGTCAAAGAGGCTGGGTGGGGAGTGGATCCCAAGACACTGAAAGGTTAGTGGAAGAGACCAGAGAAGGTAAGGGCCTTGGGGGGCTGGGGGAAGAGGAAAAATGTCTTGGTGTTGGAGGAGAATTGGAACATCTCAGACTAGTCAGAGAAAGGTAGGAGGGCCTACTGAATGAGACTCCTCCCTCAGAGGCGCTCTCAGAGAAGATACACTGACAGAGACACAGAGGGAGGAAGTCGGGTCAGTCATGGTCATGGTCTGCGGTTCAGGGTCAAGATTAAGGTCTATGTTTAGAATCAAGGGTTGAGAGCCAGATCAGAGAGAGGAAATCAGAGTCAGGGTCAGGGAGGGGATAGAAATTGGGGTTGGAGCCAGGGGTTGAGAAATTGAAGGCTGGGGATCACAGCCAGGGATAGGGGTCAAGGTTGGGAATAGGGATCAGTGATAGGTCAGGGGTCGGGTTAGGAGTGGGGTCAGAGGCTGAGTCCTTGGTTGGGTGGCTCCATGTTGTAGCAATAGTCCAGAGGTTAGGGGTTAGGGGTCATAGCTGGGGGGGTCAAGAACTGGAGTCAGAAGTTAGGTCAGTGTTTACTGAGCTCCTGGTCTGGCTGTTCGGTGTTGTTGCCATAGCCCAGGCACAGCTTGAGTTAGGTCAAGCTTGGTCAAGATCAGGTTCAGGGTCGGGGTCACGCAAGGGTCAGGGTTGGGGTTAGGGGTCAGTGTAGTAGGTGTAGAGCTGCGACAGAGATCAGGGGTCGGGGTCAGGGTAGGTGTTAGGGTCAGGGGCTGGAGGTCAGCACTCACTGGGCTCCTGGTCAGGTGGCTCGATGTTATAGCCATAGCCCAGCAGGGTGCGCACAGCCTGGCATAAGCTGTCCCGGTTACTGCGCTTGGTGGCCTCGTCCAACAGGCGGTAGGGCACGAGGCGAGGGTTTCGGCGTGCGGGGATGTCCTGCACAGCACTGTAGCTCCAGCCCTGGGCCACACGGTCTCGTGCCCACACGTTGTGCCCGTTCTCTGCCAGCCTGTCCACCAGTGTTGTCTGTGCCGGTGTGAGCCGCACATGGCTCAGGTCCAGGGGCGCCGGCTTGTACCCGTTGCTCATCATATACCTGTGGGTGTGGAGGGGACGGTAAGGAGAGCCTTCCCCCAACTCTTGGCTCTGCACAGTGGGATCCCTGACTCTGACTCTTGTTCCCAGCATCCCAGAAGCCCTAAGTTTAAGAATTTCTGGCCTTCCATCTCTAACATCAGGGTTCTATGACTCCCTTGAATAAGCTTTGAGATACCTGACCTCCGACTCCAGGATCCTGTGACCCTAGCAAGGGCTTTGACTCCACTGACCTCTGGTCTCTGTGACCCCTTTATTTTGATTTTGGGAGCCTCATCTCTGACCCTGGAACACTCTGACCTCTAGCTTTGAGGTTTCTTACCTCTGACCCCAAGACCTTATAGCTCCAGATTCCTGGATTGGAACTCCCTGACCTCTGAACCCAGGCCTCTACCCCCAGGATCTCTGACCTCTCACCAATAATTTTAGGATCCCTTCCTTACAACTCCAACAGCTTCTCACCTCTTTCCATTGATCCCTGGCCTCTAACCTAGAGAAGCATCTTCCACTCTCTCATTTTCCTGCCTCCATGGCAGAGTCTGACCCTGGGTCCCGACCCACTCCTCCCTCCGCCCCTTCCTCCCCGCACCCACCAGAACTCCTGATTCTACAAGCCTGACACCTCCCCAGGGTACTCACCACTGACTCCAGAGCCCTGACCCCTGACCCTATAACCTTTGCTGTAACCCATGGCCCCTTCTTCTCTGAGCCCAGCCTTCCCACCAGACCCCTCGAGTGCCCCAGCCCTCACCATGGTATCCCCAGCCCCTCATTCTATTCCCCAGATGGGACCTGCTGCCCACACTCACGTCTTGGGGAGTTTTGTCTTCTTCAGGTTGTCCTCCGCCTTCTCATCTGCCATGCCCACATGGCAGCCCAGCGCCAGCAAAGTCCTGGGGCAGGAGGCAGGGGGTAGGGGCACGGGTCACGCCACACAGCCCCTTTCCCTAGCTCCTTTCCCACAGTCCCTGTTGCCTTTGTCTGGATCTCCAGCTCTCTCCACATCTTTTCCTGGCTTTGTGGGTGTTTTTGTCCCCACCTCTCTCTGTTTCAGTCTGTCTCTCTGATTCCTGTCTCTGTATCTCTTTGACTGTGTCCATCTTTTCTCATCTGCCTCTTTCTGTCTCCTTCCTCTCTCTCTCTCTCTATCTCTTTCACTTACTATCCTGCTTTCTGCCTCATTCTTTCTCACCCTCTGTCAGTTTCTGCCTCACAATCCTTGCCCCCCCCCTCTCTCTCTCTCCTCTCTGTCTTACTTACTATCCTGCTTTCTGCCTCATTCTCTTTCTCACCCTCTGTCAGATTCTGCCTCACAATCCTTGCCTCCCTTTCTCTCTCTGGATCTCTTTTGTCTCTTTTCCTCTGTCTCTCTCATCTTCTCTTTCAGTCAGTGTCTCACTCTGTCTTGCCTTGCTTTCCTCCCCACCAGCAGTCAGGCCCAGCCCCTGCTCCATGGTACCCCCCTCACTTGAGCGTCTCCCCCGACATTTGCAGGTTGTAATTCCTCTCGGGTTCCGGTAGGCTATGGAAGTCCACAAGACATGGGTGCAGCCTCTTATTGTCATCCCGAACCTGGAGAAACACAGGGTCAAGTCTTTGGTTCCACTTCCCTTCCCACAACACTCCTAGACTATGACCCCTGACCTCCCGCCCTTACTTTTACCACCCAAAACCCAAGTTCTCCCAGTGCCCGAAAGGCCCTTCCCCCATCCATCTTCTCCCTGTTAGTGAGCCTGGCTCACTCCCCCACAGCAACTCTAGCCTGACTCCCTCATGCTGCAGGCAGCCCTCACCGGGCCGTAGGTCCAGCCTTGCTCGATGCGAGTCAGTGCCCAGAGTTCATGGATGTTCTCTGCCAGCTTTTCCCGAATACGCTCCAGATGGGGAGGCAGGACAATCTGGAGGACAGGGGACGTTTGTGAGTCTGAGTTACTTCCAGCCTGTGCTGTGACCCCTCTTCCAGAGAACAGTCCCCCAGCACACTCTTCTGATCTTTCTTGCTATTCTGAGCCCTGCTCCCCATCACCTCACCCTGACTCACCCAGCCAAGTTAAGAATGTAGCATCATCAAAAGGGATTATCTGGAAATGGGTCTGCCTCCCCCATGTCCTGGGAGTGCCAAGAGGTCAGGATCTGGGGCCTTCTAAGTCTCTGCCATTTTCCCAGGCCTGCCCAGCCTCGAGCCAGGCCCAGAGGAGATGCTTAGGAAATGTTTGCTGAATGCATGGATGAGTCTCTTTCCTTCTCTGTGCAGTGACGATCTGAACGTTACTTAACTCCCTAATACTTGCCTCAGAAGGATTCAGTGAAGTCACTTTCATAAACTACTAAATGTTATATAGTTTATATAAATGCCCGGCACATTGTGGATGCGTAATAAATATGTATATTGTTGCTTTTCTGCAGGCAAGAGACAATGATGGTTGGACCAGGGTGGTCTGTGGAAAGGAGAGGAGTGGGTGGAAGGATGTCTAGGAAGCCAAGTGGACAGCCCATGAGGCTGACAGGTTCGGGGAGTGGAAGGGGGAGACAACCAGGAGGAGGCCCAGGGCTCTGGCCTGGCTACAGGGGGATGGCAAGTTCACCTGGAAATAATATTACTACTACTGCTGCTAACAGGAACCGCATTGAATACTTACTATTTACTTAGGACCGTGCTAAGTACTTCACATATATTAATTAAGCTAATCTTCACAACAATGCTACGAGGCAGGTTCTATTGTTATCCCCTTTTCCTCAGATGAGGAAACTGAGGCACAGAGAGGTGAAACCACATGCCCACGGTGACATACTGAAAATCAAACCCTTGCGGTCAAGCTCTTGAACATGACTTGTATCCCCTCGTATAAGGACACGCTAAGAGGGAAGGCGGGGTGTTAGGGTTGGGATTAATGGAGTGGGAGAGGCCTGGGATAGGAACGGAGCCCAACAAATTGTAGGCTTCGGCATCAGACTACCTGGGTTCAAATCAGCTGTGTGACTTGCATAGGTTACTTAACCTCTCTGGGCCTTGCCTTTCTCATCTGTAAATTTGGGGTAATAATAATCCTATATTTAGGGGGCTATAGTGAGGACTCCCTGAAACTGGGAGTCTGTCTTTTTTTTTTCTGAGCCATCCTACTACCTGTTGGCAGCTCAGCGGCTGCTCAGCTCGGGCTGGACTCGAACCGCTGTTGCTCAGAGCTCAAACTCTTGAGCGAGCTCTTAACCAACTGAGCCACTCCGCTGGCCCCAGGAGTCTGTCTTAAGAGAGTCCTTTGCCTCCTCTCTGCCTCAGTTTCCCTGTCTGTTAAACAAGGTTCCCATCTTCCAGCTCAGCTCCCCACCTCCATGCCTCCTAAGAGAGTCTGTCTCTCCAGGAAATCCTTGCAGGGCAGGCAGTACCTGGACAGTGTCCACAGGGCAGGGAACAAAGTCGGTGTGTGAGAGGCAGCGGCTGGGGCCCACCAGGTGCGGCCCCCGTGGCCCCTCCCGCCGATACTCCTTGATGGGTTCCAGATGGAGTCGCTCTCGCGGAAGCACAGCCTCATGGCATGGGGCGTAACCAGGAGGGGGGAGGAACTTGAACTCCCCGTGGCGGCCACCAAGGAGGAACCGCACCCTGGATGGGAGAATGAGGTCACTGGTAGGGCTGCTTATGGGGAAGAGTCTGTGCTCAGTGAGGATAAGGGAGCAATCCTGGGATCAGTGGAAAATTCTGGGGATACCTGAGGTCACTGGGAAGTCATAGGGTCATGGAGGTCATTTAGGAGTCAGAAAGGAAATTCTAAGGTCAAAGAGAATGTCTGAGGCCAATGGGAATCATGGGAAAGTCAAAGAAGAAAAGTGTGGGGTCATTGGGGAAGTAATGCAAGGTCATGGGATGGTCCTTTGGAGCTAGGTCAACAGAGCATTTTGGGATACTGGAAGGTTTGGGGGAGATCAAGAAGGTCATTTGGGAGTCACTAAGAATCTAGTATAACTTTGAGATAACCATAATTGCCACTGAATGGTGAATGGGAAGTCATTCACAGAGCTTGGGGTCATTGGGAAAAGACTGTTATTGAGAGGTCTTTGAAATACTGGAGTCACTGAGCGGTCAGTGGGAGATTATGGAAAGAGTATAAGATCACTGGGGGATGATGCTGGGGTCACTGAGAAGCTGTTAAGAGCCTGGAGTCATTAGGAGAGTCCAAGATCATTGAGGGGGGATCCCTGGGAGGGTTTAGGGTCATTAGAAGATCACTGTCAGATTCTGGAGTCATCTGGAGGTCACTGGAATGGCACAGGGTCATTGGGACAGTCTGAGGGAATTTAAGAGGTCACCAGGAGAGTCTGGAGTTATTAGAAGGTCACTGTGAAATTTTGGGGACACTTGGAGGTCACGGGAAGGACATGAAATTGGGGAGAAGCTGAGGTCAGTGCGAGGGTCTGGGTCACTGGGAAGACACTGAAAGTGTCTGGGATCATGTAATAGTCACCGGGACTTTCACCTATGTGTCTGTCTGGCCAATAAGTCCTAAGAGTAGACTGCTAGGTCCTGGCCTCATAGGAAGCTATGGGGTGCTTGGGGAAGCCGTCTCAGGACAGTCCCAGGTCTGAGGACTGGCAAAGGGGCAGGGGCAAGTCCTTACTTGACACCAGCTGAGAAGCTGACGACAGGGAAGAAGAGCCCATCAAGGTTGAATGCCTCAAAGACACCCTGCACGGGACAGCCATTGATGCGGAAGGAGATGGATGGGACACTGAGGTCCAGACAGCAGCTGACCACATCCTCAGGGGCCAGGAGGTGCTGCCCTGGGTAAGTCACCAGGCGTGCCACATGTCCTGCAGCAGGGTCACCAGGGAGGAGTCATAAGTCAGAGGTCCCATGGGACCAATGATCTCAAGGGACAAGGGGCACATATTAGAGGATCTTATGGGGTCCAGATCTTGGAAACCCTAAATTAAGTGTTCCCATGGAGGGTCTTATAGCTCTGCAATCAGGGGCAGAAGTCAAGTTTCCCCTGAGGTTAGGATTCTGAGAGCTGTGGGTTCAGAGATTAAAGCCCTCCTGGAGTTAGGGTTATGGAGCTTTTGGGGTCAGAAGATAAACAGCAGAGGTCATAATAATCTGGGCAGTTTCCTGGGATCTCTAGGGTCAGTGATCATACATCTTCTGGGGTCAGAGTTCTGGAGACTATGAAGGAACATATTAGGGATGGGATTCTGGAAGCTCTAGGGCTAGGTCTTGGGAAATGAGGAGTAAGCGGTCAAAAGTTGGCCTGTTTTGGGGGTCAGTATCCCAAGAACCCCAAGGTGTGTGGTAAAAGGCTTGGAAACTCTGGGGTCAATGGTCAGGGTTAAGGGTCCCTTGGAAGGGTCCAGGTACCTGTCCAGAGATGCAGCCCGTCAAAGCCGTAGGAATAGAGGTCATCGCCAACCCCGTTGCCGCCCCAGCCCTCGCCGCCCCCAGGGTAGGGGCTGTAGCCCTCAGTGAGGGCCCAGCCCACTCGCAGGTGGGTGGCCTGAGCTGTCAGGAACGGAGTCACTTCATCCACCATCACCTCAAAGTACCATTTGCCATACTGTGTGGAGCCCTCTGCTCGGCCCACAAAGATGTTAGGGCGGATGCTGCAAGAGAAATGGGATAGGAGAGGGGATGAGGGAGAGGTGGAGAGGAGAGTCATGCTGTTGCAGGGGTGGGGGAGGAGAGGGAGAGAAAGAGAGAGAGACAGATAGAGAGAAAGAGATATATACACAGTAAAAACAGAGAGGCAGAGACATGGAGATAGAGAGTAAGAGACAAAGAGAGAAAGCAAAGACAGGCATCAAAGACAGAGAAGAGACAGTAGAGATAGGGAAAAAGAGATGGAGGAGAAATAGAGAGAGATAGAAATAGAAAGAGACAGAAATGGGGGTGGGGAGAGAGAGAGAGACAAAGAGACAGAGAGAGAAACAGATAGAGGCAGAAATAGAGCAGAGAGAGGATGAGAGTGGGAAGCCAGGTGAGCTGGGGCAAGAGCAGACATCTGTGAGGACCGGGTGTTAAGTCTGAGGGTAGGAGATGGAGGAAGGGACAGCCACCCGGGTGTGGCGTCTCTGAGACAGGGTGAGATCAGGCTGGGGTCAGGGTTTGGGGCCAGACCTGGTGACATAGTTGATGAGGTTTGTCTGCAGCAGAAGCTCACGGCCAGGGAGCAAGTTCTCAGTAATGAGATCTTGGTTGGAGCGCACGGCCACGCCATTACACACACACAAGGAACACAGCACGTCCAGCACCTGAAGGTCAAGGTCAGAGGTCAGGATGCAAGGGCACCAGGGTCTATGGGAGGCCCTGGGTGGGAAGCCAGAAGTAAAGGATGGTGTGTCAGGACAGGAGATAGGGATTTTGACTGAGAGGAGGTGGAGAAAGTGGGAGATCAGGGATCACAGAAAAGGTCAAGGGTCAAAGTGAAAGGTCAAGCGAGAGACTAGGGGCCATACGAGTGGGATAAAGCATTAGCAATGTAAGAAAGGAGAGACTGGAGTAAGAGGTTAAAAGTCAGGGGAAGAGGGAAAGGCTCAGGTCAGTGAGAGAGCACAGGGGTCAAGGTGAGATTTGAGACCAGCAGGAGATGCCAGCTCGTATTTTCAGGGGCCAGGTGGATCATGTAAATCTGTGAAGTGGTTATAAATAGCACAGTGGGAACTGGTAGAACCTGTGGCAAAGTGGAGCCTGTATATGCACCCCACCTAAAGGGTACAAAATTAGAAAATTATAGGAAATTTAAAAAACTATTTCAGAGAGCTAATGAAACACCTCTGTGGCCCGGGATCCATTTAAGAACCATAAGTTGGAGACCCTTATGTTGAAGTGGAAGCACATGGAAAAGGAGTCCACTTAAGAGTTAAGATAGAGGAGGGGAGTGGGAAGTTCTGGGGCCAAGGGGAGAGGTCAGGGTTCAGAGTTCAGGGGATGATAGGTCAGGGGTGAGGGGCTGACCTTGTGGTTCCTCCCGTGTTTGTCCAGGAGGGAGATGATGGACTTGATGTGATTCTCTTGGATGATGTTCAGGACCTCGGGACTCTCAATCAGGACACAGTACAGCACCTCCAGGATCCCTGCACAGATAACAGAGTGAGAGGTGAGGTGGTTTGTGGCCCTCCTCTCCCCCAAGTCTCGATCCCTTCCCTGGGTTCTCCTACCAGATGAGGCCTCCAGTCGATCCAGTTTGCTGACCAACCAATCCAAGTTGGTGGAGAAGAGGGCACAATTGGTACGATTGCCACGGATCAGAGAGGCTAAGGGAGAAAAGAGGGGTCAGACCCAATGGGACTTGGCACCTGGGGAGTTCCAGGGGGAGTCAGGACTAGGACCCTTACCCAGGAGTTCATAGAGGAGGTTTACAATCTCTTTCCAGGACTCAGCTGCCTCCTCCCCGGCAAATTCAGCAAAGTGGGCAGCAGTGCTGTAGACATTTAGGCGGTCAATGCAATTCAGGACCAAGGAGAGCATCCCCTGAGGTGGGGAAAACAAGGGGGTCACCACAGGAGTCCCAAGCCCTCCCTTCCTGGCCTTTCTTATTCACATTCCTTCAACAACTAGTGACAGTGAGTTCCCAGTTCTAAATCAGCACCATTAGCTTCCTCCCCCTTCATTTCCATCACCCTCCGTTCCTCCTTGGCTCCCTAGATTGGTCCCTGTCCTCTGCGCCTCTGTCCCCAACATAATACAGCCTTATTAACATCAGGACTGAATTTGGGCTTCTCTTTCCTACAGTTTTCTTTCTATCCTTTCCACTTCCAAGCACCCCACTCCTGGTCCCCGCTGGCCCAGTTCACTCTCTGCACCAGCCATCAGAGACTTTTTCGCTTTCTCTTTTTTTTTTTTTTTTACATTTCAATCTTTTGTCTTTTTTTATTGTGAATTATAACAGACATACAGAAAAGCACATAAAACATATACAGTCAATAGTTGTTACTCGTGGTATTTAGGTTCTGTGAAGTCACCATGAGTACTAAATTAGTGAATACTGAACATGGCTCCTGGGGTAAACACAGGAGTCCCTCTGAGCCTCTGGTCACATTTTTGTCAGTCAATCAATACACACTCTTGTTTTATGTGCATTTCTATTCAAATACACTGACTTAATATATAATGTTGATTCATTAACATTAAATTCATAGCCATCAGCACTCTAACTCATGCCTGAATGACATTATCTCATACACATATTTTCTCCATAAGGCACATCACAGCTTTCTTGTGCCTGGGAACATTAGACAGCTTCAGTGGTACACTTAGGGGCCATTTTAACAGCAAAATCAACAAAAAGCACAAAAATGCAAAAACACTGTGGTACTAAACATACAGTGAAAAAGACACTTGTTTACAATATGCGAGCAAAACGAGGGGGCAGAGCATCACCTTGTTCAACCTCAGCTGGCAACATGCATGTCAGATGACTCAAATTTTTTGCACTCTGCATATGGCCACAAATGTGCTGCTAGTAATGACTTCGAGGTTACAAATAAATTTTAGCAAGTAGGCAAATTTGCAAATACAGAATCTGCGAATAATAAAGATCCAATGTATATGGTTTAACAAGCCAATATCAACAACACTTGTATAACCATGACCCAGGTCAAGAAAGAGAACATTGCCAGCCACCCAGAAGTTTCCTGGATGCCCCTTCTGATTACACAATCCTCTCTGTTAGGGATAAACCGTCATCCTGACTTTTATGGAAATCCTTTCCTTGCTTTTCTATTTTTACCACCTATGTATGCATGGCTAAACAATCTAATGGACTTTTGCCTGTATTTGAACTTGGGATAGACAGTAAGTACTCTTTTGTACATGGATTCTTTTGCTCAACATTATGGTTTAAGATTCAAGACCATTGTTGCATGTGGCTGTAGTTTGTTCGTCTTCATTGTTGAGTATATTGATATCCATTGTATGATATGCCACTTTGTGGGTCCATTCTAGTGGTAGTGGACATTTGGGCTGTTTCTAGTTGTAGGCTGTTACAAATAGTGCTGCTGTGACAACTGTATCTATACCCTGGGGCCCGTATCATTAGGAAGAGAGGCAGTGCTTCATGGTTCAGAGCACAACCAGGTTGGAGTCACACAGACAGGCTCTGCCACTAACTATTGTGACTTTAGAAGGCCTAATCCTCCTGTGGCTCCAAAGCCAAAGTCCTCACCATAGCCTGGCCCTCATCTCCTCCCATTCTTCCCAGATCACTCCGCTCCAGTTGCACTGGCCTCCTCGCTATTCTGGAGCCTGCCAACTGCACTCCCACTGCATGGCCTGGGAACTTGCTCACTCCACTCCTCTGTCTCCTCTCTACCCTTGCCCCAGTATGCACATGGCTCCCTTCCTTCTTCCTTCAGGCCCCCTCCTTGACCTCTCAATTTTATTTTATTTTATTTTTTTATTTATTATTATTTTTTTTTTAGCTGAGCCATCCTGCTACCTATTGGTAGCTTAGCGGCTGCTCAGCTCGGGCTGGCATCGAACCGCTGTTGCTCAGAGCTCAAACTCTTGAGCGAGCTCTTAACCAACTGAGCCACTCGGCCGGCCCTGACCTCTCAATTTTAAATTGCAACACCCTCAGCACTCCCTGCTGCTACCTACCCTGCTTTATTGTTCTCCTTAACACTTATCATCATTTACTGTACCATATAATTTTCTCATTTTATTTGATCATCTATCCTCCCCCTGTGTCATCTCCATAAGGAGAAGGATTTTGTCTGTTTTGTTGACAGCCATATCCCCTAGTGTATTTGTTAATCAGATGAGGTTTTTTTAACCTCTCTGAGCTTCAGTGACCCATCTGTAATATAGGAATTACAATCCCCTATGGGATTATCAGATGTAATGTATATACCACTCTTAATACACAGTAAGGGCTAAATTCAAGGTAATTATAACCACTAACACAAATACAGCATCTACTACTATGTGGTGGCACTGTTTTAAGCACTTTGCATATAGTAACTCCATTCCATAAGTAAGTTTTGTTATTGTTACTATTATCATTTCTGGGTCTGGCTTCCCCATCAGACTGCGAGCCCCTGAAGAGGAGGGGAACCAAGTTGGAAGCCTTTCAATGAATATGTACCCCCATCACCCTATGGAGACATCAGACGCCCCCGACCTTTGTCCAGCCCCCTCCTCCAACATCTCTCAGCCCCTCCCACTCAGACCCCACATCTCTTCCTTTTGTTTTCTCATAACACACAAACTCCCAGCTCTGACCTCTGCTGAGGTCCCTCTCTGGCGCCCGAATACCCACCTCTGGCCTTGCCCCCAGCCCCATGCCCTACTCTGGTTCTGACCTCCCACCCTGCAGGGCGCGTCCCCACAGACACCATCCCTGAGTCCAGCAGCCTCTTGGCGCTTATCTGTTTTCTCAGGACTTGTCGTAGCCCTGAGCTACACCAAGGACCTGACCCCTCCTTCCAGGTGAGAGAACAAGGTCGGGTCACCCCTCACCGCTGGGGTTCCCCCTCGCTCTCACAGGCTCCGCCCCTGTTCCGCCGTACGCCCAGCTCCCCAAGGACCACCAACGCAGCCCCGCCCCTCCAAGGCCCCGCCCCCTCCCATGTCCTCCACTACCCTTTGCACCGCCTTTGCACAAGCCTGGGTCCTTCCTCTTGTCCCTCCATCCACCCATGCTCTCTCAGACCTCTACTTCTCTGTCCCTCTGGCCCTACCTCGCCGGGCGCTGGGGCTCTACTCCTCCCTTATGCCCCGCCCCTTACGCCCACAGACCCCTCCCCTTCCCGACCTCAGCCTCACCTCCTCCTGGAAGAGGCTCTGGCGGTTGCGCAAGCTGCGCAGCTTGGTTTGCTTCTCCTCATGCTGCAGCTCCTCAGAGGGCGGCTCGAAGTAGCCAATGAGGTCCTGCAGGCTCAGGATGACGCCCTCGATGGGCAACGCTGTGCCAACCGGCGGCCCTGAGCCCCGCGGCTTCCCGCTGAAGCTGTCCAGGCCCCTGCAGGGACCGCACACTTGTCAACCAGGAGCCTGGAGCGCTAACTGTGGGTAAGGCTCTCTCTCGAGTACCACTCCCTGCCCCCAGGACTCCCACAGACACACCTATTTAACAGAGGGCAAGACTGAGACGCAGAGAGAGAAGGGCATTGGTCCGAGGTCACATTGTGGCCAAGGGCAGAGCTGGAACTAGGACACACGCCTGTTGTAGGCACAGGGAGTTGTGGAAGCAGGAGTCACGGCTGGGGAGGGCCAGGGTCAAGGGTCTGGGAGTCAGGGATGTGAACATTAGTTAGGTAGTGATCAGGGATGCAAGGTCAAAGATGGTTCTCAAGGTCAGATGAGGAGTCAAGTATATAGAGGAGTTAGAGGTTAGTGGTCATATGTATGTTAGCAGGGGTGTAGATGTCAGAAGTGCGATAAATGCAGTCAGGTGCTTGAACCCCAAGAGCATGAGGTTCAAGGCGTGGCCTGGCACCCAGGGCAGAGTGGGCATGTTGCTCACTTGATGAACTGGTTGTACAGGCCAGCAGTGCTGTAGATCATGCGGGCAGCCTGGGACTCCTCCTGCTGGCAGCGGGTCAGTGACAGTGCATCATCCATGTGGCCCTCCTGGTGCAGCATGGCCTGGCAGTGGGGGGACAGAGAAGTCAGGAGGGTGCCCAGCCACCCAGGGCCATGAACTCCAGACTCTAGCCCTGAAGCTGCCTCCTTCCTCCACCAACTCTCTCTGCCAGTCCCCCCCCCTCTTTCTGTTCCTCTTCACCCATCTCTGTGTCTTTCTCTCAGTCCTGTCCTCAAACTCCTGAAAACTCAGGCCTGACCACCCGTGGGTCCCCTTCCTGTCCCTGCCCACCCCTTCCCCCTGCCAGGCACCCACCTTTTTCTTGAGCACGCCGAGCCGCAATGCCTTCGTATCCGGAGCTGCATAGGTGAGCCACAGGCCAGAGGCCACGTGCTGCACAAAGCACAGCGACTCCCCATACTTGATCTCAGGGGGGCCCATGCCTTCCACATCCCGCTTGGGGGCCACATCCAGCTTCTCCTGCAGGGGTAGGGGGCAGAGGTCAGCCTCCTCTGCCTGTGTAGTTAATGGGGGAGCCCCACTGACAGACTGCAGAGTGGGCCCTGGGGCAGGATTTTGGGCTCCAGGTGAGGAGGGTGCCCTGACCCCACCAACCTTGGAGATGCGGAAGCAGAAGGAGGTGGCCTTGGTGTGGGCCTTGCTGGCATCAACTACCACCAGGCCCTGGTCCTCGGTGAGTGCCAGGTACCTCCCCGTGGTGACATGCCGTATGCGAAGCGGCTGGCCCCAGCGCAGGTGGCTCCCACTCCAGCTGCAGAAGGTGAGGGCAAGGGGGTCAGAGGACCCCCCCCAATCCTCCCATGGACACCACAGTCTTGGTCCAAACCTCCTCAAGCCCCCAGCCCTCTTCCCAACCCCAAACCTTCCTCAGGGCCCTTAAATCTTTCTTAGGGCCCCCAGTCCTCTCTCAGACCCTCACAGCATCCTTTGAGCTCCCCAGATGGCTCCAGTTTTCCCAGACCCATCGTTTTCTCTCTCCCCACTCCCCACACTTTCACTTGGGACCCCCTGATCTCTCCCTCGGGAACCTCCTCCCTCATTGTCTCCCAAGACCCCCTTTTCCTTCAGGAGTCTAGGAGCCTGAGGACCTCATGGATCTCTTGTGCTCCCCAGATTGTCCCTCAAAACCCTCCAGTCTCTTCTTGTGTTCTTCCCTCAAGACCCTTTCTCCCCTCCCAGCCCGCACAGCCCCTAACCCCTTCCCCAGCCTAGCCGCGCCCCCCCCCCGCCCCCCGCCACCTTCACCTGATTCTCAGAGGCTCCAGTCTCCAGAGGGAGCGGGCATGGGTGCACACAGCTCCCCCCTCGTAATGGACAAGTCTGGGGACAAGGGAGAGAGTGAGGTCAGGGGTTCAGATTATAGTCCCCAAGAATCTGATCCCCAATGCCACTCATAGGGCCCCAGCTCCCCAGCCAAATGTTACCCTCCTTCACCCTCCTCCTCCAGCCCTGAGACTCCAGGCCCTCTTGTCTCCCGCCCAGACCTGCGCTGGTCATCACTGTCAGCAGGAGAAATAGTCAGACACTCATCCATGTGTCCGTGAAAGAGGCGGAGGACGTGGCCCCCGGTCACAGAGCCTGGAGAGAAGCAAGGGAAGATGGTCACTGTAGGGCTGGAGCCCCAGACAGGCCCAGGAGCCAAAGTAGAGTTCGGGGACCTGCTTCTCCCCTATGGGAGGCTGGGGACTGGCTTGGGGGTTGCAGCTGGAGATCTGAGTTTCAAGGTATGAAGTGTATAGTTTGAGATTTGGGCTAAGCTTGAGGCCTGAATTGGGGGTATGAGATTTGGGATCTGAGGTTGAGGATATAAGTTTGGGGTGTCTGGGTGTGCAAAACTGAGGTTGGGGGGTTTGTGGGTCTGAGTTTGGAGTTTTGAGATTGAGGTTAGAGGTTTGGGTCTCATGTTCCCTGATATTGATTGGGTCTGAGTTCCAGAGCTTGACTTAGGGTCTGGGTTTATGATGGTTGTCTCTGAAGTTGGTGGGGCTGAGATTCAGGCCTGAGTTTCAGCACCTGTGCTTTGAGTCTCAGCTTGGGTCTGGCCTAGGGCTCTGAGAGTTGGAGTCAAAGTTTTGGGGCCACGCTTTGGGATCTTAGCATGGGGGTCTGAGTCTGGGAGATGACTTTGGAAAACTAAAGTTAAAGTTGGAGGTCTGAGGTGGGTTGGTTGTGATTTGGAGTCTTAATTAGAGTATTGGTTTGGGGATCTGGGTTTGAATTTGGGGGGTTTGAGTTTGGCAGCTGAGGCTTGGGGTCAGGGATAAGCTTTAAATTTGATATTCTAAGCTTGGATCTAAGTTTAGAGATCTGGTCTACAGGACCTGAGTTTGGCATGTGAGCTTTGGGGACCAATACTTTGGGGTCTGATGTTGGGACCAGACCCCAAAGGCTCAGTTTGGACATGTCTGAGGAGCATTGTGGGAGATCTGTTTGGGGGACCTCAATTTAGGGGCTGGAAGCCTGGGGCCCTTACCCTCTTCACAGCCAGAGGAGATGGGGTTCATGTTCCACAGTGTCTGCATGAAAGAGGCGTCAACCTGGAGGTCCCCACTGGCTGTTGACAGGTGCTAGGGGCAGCCAGAGGGTGGAAGTCAGAGACAATGGTGGTGGGGGAATAGTTCTAGAGGCAGAAGCCAAAAACCAGGGGTGGAAGCCCACAGTGGGGTCGGAGGGACCGCAGATGGGAAACAGAAAATTAGAGATCACAGGTCAGGAAACCGGGATGGAGTCAGGAAATGGGGGCATCAGAAACCAGGACTTGCATGTCAAAGATCAGGAAACTGGAAAGTGGGAGTCAGGAGGTTGGGGCCAGAGACCAGTGATGAGATGAGGCTGACCCCTTGCGCCACCAGCCTGGGGGACAGTAGTAGCCGTGACAGGGGTGGGATCACTCACCAGGTAGCGCTCGGAGGAGACACTAACGAGGATGAGATCATCCCCAACACGGACCTTTTCTCCTTCCGACCTCTGCTTGGAGGCTGGGTGCATCGTCCACCAACAGGCCTCACCTGGGGGTGCGGGGCAAAGCTGTCAGGATGCTGGCTGCCAAGAATGTTATTCTCAAGTCATTCCCAGCCCTGAGCCTCTCAAGCCTTCTGCTGAAATTCTCCTACGGCTGCCACCAACTCTGACCCACAGTTCCCCATTCCTGCCTTTGGACCCTCTGCCTAGGGTTCCCCCTTGCTTGCCCAATCCTCCCCATCCAAATGTGTCCATCTGCACCCCCAGATTCTCTGCCCCAAAGCCCCCCATTGCTACCCCAGAGTATTCCCATGCCAGCTCCATGTTATGCAAACCTTTTGTACCCCAGCTCCCTGTATGCCCTGTCCCTATCATACCCCGCCCCCTCCAGCCCCTGCACCTGTTGCATCCTCCTGCAGTCCCACATCGAAGGCCAGCTTGTCAGTCATGGAGCGGGAGGTGGTCAGGCAGCTCAGGTACTAGGGTCATAGAGGGAGGTCAGCCTCCTTCTGGCAGGCACTGCACTATCTGCTCCCTACCCCCCGACCCCCGGCTCCCCCTAGACGCACTCACCATGCCGCTGTGTGCATGCCGCAGCAGGATGGCATGGCCATACAGGAGTGTCCTGTGTCCCCCACCCTGAGATGACTGCGGGGGTGGGAAGGCACAGAGTGAGAACAGATCCCCCAACACAACTAGCCTATCCCGGGTAGGAATCGGCTCCCCATAAAATACCATGCTCAGGCCTAGATGCAAGGAAGCATCCGTTCAGACCCTCAACAGGTTCTCTGCCTCAGTTTCCCCATCCATGGAAGCAGGGGCTCTGTCTCTGAGAAATCTGTGGATGGGGTATTCTGTGTTCTCCAAAGCCCATTCTGTCCTCCTTGCCCCCTTCACCTTGTTAACCAGGCCCCAAAGTCACATAGGGAGGCTGGACCCCTCCTTAGGTACCGGGGACACTCAGGGAAACCCCATGTTCCATGGACCTCGGTCCCCTCTGCTCTAACCTGTCACAACATGGCTGAGCTGCAGCCAGCGTGCACTGCTACAGTCCTACTGGTTGTTAAAGATCGTAACATCACCCATAGGGACCTGCCCTGAGCTGCCACACATCCACAGGCACAAGGAGACTCAGCCCTCTGGGGGGGGGGGGGTGACACCCGGTTGCTTGACTGTACCAGGCCTTCCATCCCAGCTGTCACATGCCCATGCTCTGAGGAGGCCATGTGATGGGGTCACGTGATCACATGGTGGACCCACTGCTGGACCAGAGGGGACCCACACTTGGGATGGGGGAGGTGAGGGGAGAGGTCCCATGCAGATAATAGCTGGAATCAGGGTGGGGGGGAGGGGGCGGGAAGGATGCAAAAGAGGAAGAAGGAGCAGTAGAGGGGGACAGGGGCTCAGAAGCCCCCACCCCCTTCCTTCCTTCCTTCCTTCCTGGCCTGTTCTGGGCTCCACAGCCCCTGACAACTGGGGTGGGGGAGACACCCCAGCCCCCTTGTGCAGGATGTGGGCCCAAGAGGCAGGCCTGGGGTCAGGAGACTGGGAAAGACAGGTGACACCCAAGGCCAGACCTACCCACTTATCCAAATTGAGGGCCTGTTGGGGGCGGGGCAGAGAGAGGAAGAAGAGCAGACGGTAAATGACCCCAGGCGCTCCCTCCCATCTCACCACCCATCCGGCCTGGGGTGGGAGCCTCACCTCCACACCGGCCTCCACAGTGTTGGCTAGCATCTCCTGCAGGGCTCGGACGGACAGGGACTGCTCCAAGATGAAGCAGCAGATGGCCAGATCGGGAGGCACATTCTGGGGTGGGGGGGAGATGTGAGCAGGGGGCCTGAAGGCCCAGAGACCTGATGCATCCCCTGCCCCCAGTCTAAATACCCACACCTGTTAGAGACCCAGACCCGACCCCAATCCCCCAAGAAGCCTTGCCCTCTGCCACCTGCTTCAGACACCGTGAATCCTTACCAACACACACAGAAAACACCTCTGCTGTGCCTTTTCCCTCAAACGCCTGAACCCCACCCAAACCTCACAGAAGCTTCCACACTACCCTCCAACTTAGGTACTCCAAACCCCACCTCATCTCAGAGGAAGCCTCAGCCTGTGCCTCTGCCCTCAGACACACTGCGCCCGCTCCAACTCCCGGAGGCTCCTCTAGCTTCCCTGCAGGTAACCCAAATTGCTCCAACCCCAGAGGGATCCCCACCTCCTGCCATGACCAGAGCAGCCCCAGTTCCTGCTTGCCCTCTCAGATACTGTGAACACTGCTTCAAAATCACAAGAGGGCGACCTTAACTTCCTCCTCAGTCTCCCAGCCTTCATCTCAGACTCCTTGACACCCTCCTTCTTGGAGCCAAGACTCTCTGCCCCCTAAGGACCCTGGCCTCTTCCCCCATCAGACTCCACATCCCCTCCCTCTCCCAGCCCCCTGCCCCATCCCCCCAGGTCAACTCCTCTCTCAGACCCTGAATCCGCCTCACCCTCAGACTCCAGGTTCCTTCCACCTCTCAGCCTCTACCGGCTCCCCAGTTAGCCCACTGCTAGCATGCCCCCAAGTCTCCAGGTCCTGTCGCCTTGGATCCAAAGCCTTCTGCCCCCTCAGAAACCTTCCTCCTAAGACCCCTGGGCTCCCTGCCCCTCTCTACTCAGAACTCTCCCCTACCCATCTCAGACCCCAGCCCCTTTTTCTCTTAGCCCCCTCCCCGTTTGCTCTCCTTTCAACACCCCCTTTTCAGACCCTCTCATCCCCAGCCCCATCTTCCCTCCAGAGCAGACCTGGGCGTTGCTGGTGGGCTCCAGGAAACAGAGACGGTTGCCAAAGCCCTCGGCGGCCAAGCAGAGCTTGAGCTGCTCCTTGAGCACAGTGGCGCTGCACTGCAGGACCACATCGTCTTCCTGAGGATGGAACCCAGAGGTCAGGGCTTGCTGGCGCCCACATAGCACATACACTGCGTACCTCAGCCACTCACCCCACACTTCTCACGAAACAGGTACCCACCCTTGCAATGTATCAAGTAGGGGCCTTTGCTGAGCGCTCTACATACTGCTAGCATTCCCATGAGATAAGAGCCAGTGTCATCCCCTTTTTAAAATGGGGAAACTGAGGCTCAAAGAGGGGACATGGCTTGTCCAAGGCCACACTACTGATAAGAGGGGGAGCTGGGATTTGAACACTAGTCCAGCTGGCTCTAGAGGCCTCCCAGGTGGGGTCCACAAGGTGAATCATTTGAGGGTGGAAAGTATGAGCACCTCAAGTTCAATGGCCTTTAAGCTCTGCTTTCTCCAATTTCTCTTTTGTGTACTGTCTTAATAATAGCTATTATTTAAGGGGCACTTTCTAATGTCACCTGATTGTGATGCCAGAATCTGAACAGGATCCTGGATGGGGGGTGGGGAAGTGCCACAAAGGACAGTGTGGCAGCCGCTGCTCAAAGCTGACTAAGGACTGTGAGTTAGATAATGGTATCATCGCAATACTAAATTTCTTTTTTTCTTTTCTTTTAATTATTTTTTATTATGAAATACACATTTTTTAGAATTAGTTTCAGCTGTACAACACAGTGCAATAGTTATACTTTTTACCCC